GCCCCGCCCCGCCGGGCCCGCCCCCTTGTGGCCGATACCGGGGAAGTCTAGGCTGCCGCTGTCCGCAGGGCTGCGCCCCCCAAGTCTCTCAGGACAGATGAGCAGTCCCGGCCCCAGTGCCTCCGACTTTGGTGCTTAAGATCCGCCACCTGAAGCCGGGAGCCTGTTACCGTCCCGGGGTCTCTGAGGAAGTCCCACCCACCCATCTAGGAGGGCTCAGCTCGAAACTCTGTCCTGCAGCAAGCCTTGGGTGATGACACCCCAGAGGCACTTGGAAGCTTAGGTATTCATGGTGCCACTGTGTGTTCTACTGTGCGCAGCTCTGGCTGCTTTCTCCTGGCCAGAGCAGAGGCACCCTGGGCGCATCTGGATATACTACACCTTCAGCCCTTGAGGAGATCGGAACGGGGGGGGGGGGGCAGCAGGCTCTTTAAAGGGGATCACAGCAGCCTGTCTTCAGGCCCCCACCCAGCAGCGATGGGGGTCGCATAGCCCTGGGCTAGGTAGAGCTACAAATGCACAAGCTGTCACACATGGCAGAGAGCTGTGGGCACAGCACGTGGCACTGAGTGCTGAGCACAGCATCCCAGGACTGGCTCTGCCTGTGACCCAGGTCTAGGGGATCGGAGCGACTGGCTAGCTTGTCTGGGGGTCAGCTCCAGAGCCTCATGGAGACCTGGCAACCACTTCTACTTTCCAGGGTGCGCTGTGAGCCTTACACGGGCGGGTGTCAGTGCAGCGCCTTCTTAGGACAGCTGGATGGAAAGCTGCTTCCGAGGCCGCGGAGCTGGTGGGCAGAAGGACAGGGCGCATGCGCACATGCTGGCGGCCAGCACGGCTGACCGCTCCCGCTGCTCTTCTGCCTCGGTTTTCCTTCTCTGCTGTACTCATACTTTTTAAATGAAAAGTCTCCTTCCCCCAGAATGAAAATAGCACCATTGGGAGTTTCCTGTGTATAGAGATAAAACATAAATAAAATGTTAAAAATCTAAAGGGGAGTATTACGGAAATCTCGTAGGTTTCACATACACAGAACATCTAAGCCAAAAAAAAAAAAAAAAAAAAAAATCTAAGCAAGCAGAACAGAAAAAGCAAAAGCAAGGCTCTATAAATCACCCCAAGTTCTACCCCTGAAAGGCAAGCAGGATTAGCATCTCCGTGAACACCCTTCCAGATGCGGCGCTGCCTGTTTCTGTCTTGGCTCTCAAAGACAGACGCATCATTTCGTATAGACGCTATCCATGTGGCTTTGTAACTTTTTTCCTTTTTCTTTCTTTTTTTTTTTTTTTTTCACTCAACAGGGTGTCACAAAGTTTACATTTTAAAGAGTGTTTTCAAAGATACTTTTGGACACAGTGTTGGGTTTTACAAGCTCACTTCTCCTCTCCCCCTCCCGCCTTCCTCAGGCCTCCCCTGGGGGCTGTCCCATCTGTACATCTCGGTCCCAGCCCAACAGGGCTTCATCCTGAAGGGCCCAGGGGGACACTCTGCTCCCAACTAGAGCTGAACAAGAGGCAGGCTGCCAGGAGAAGCTGAAGAGGGGACCCCAGGAGGTGGGCACTACCCAGAGGGGGGCACGGCGCATCCACCAGGATGGGAACCAGGTACATAGCAGCACCAGAAACAGGGTCGAGGCTCCTCCCCATCCCTTAACACACGTGTCCCCACGCCGTGAGGAAGGCGCAAGGTTTTTTTTTGCTGCTGTGGGAAGAGGGGCAGCCTTGCTCAGAAGAGGGTGACTTGGGACCTTGGCTACTTTTTGCTGAAACCTAAGCGATTTCCACAGGACTCACCTGAATGAGTGATGAGTGTTTCTACCTTTTGTCAGGTCATATTTTTGCTAAGTGGTTGGCTTGGGGACACCAAATGATGACATGTCCTCTCTCTCTTCCACCCTCCTTCCCTCTTGTCCACACCAGTATCCAGGTCAACAAGCCTCCATACACTTCTGACCAGACTGGCTGAGATCTGGAGCAGGAGGGACAGTGGATCCCGGCATCACGAGGCCCTGAGGACCTCTGTCTGCAGGAAAAGGGCTCTGATAGTGGTGTCTGCAGCCTGCCAGCTGGGCCCTTAGAGGGTCTTACAGCCTGGCTCACCGACCCCAGATCTGCACTCCCTCCTCCCTCCAATTTCCTCAACCCAAAAAAAGAAAGTGCTTGTGAAAAGCGGGGGCTGAGTGGCCCTGGTGTCACCACTGCCAGTCCCGCCCCTCTGCCAGCTTGGGTGAGAAGAGCCCTGGTGGTGACACCTCCTCTTCCTGCTGCCACCTCACCCTCCTTCCCAGGCTCCAGAGCTGCAGAGGTGGGAAGGAAAGAGCGAGGCCCCCTGGGATCCCCTCACCTCCCCAGCAGCCCTGGTGGAGTTGGAGTGAAGAGAGGCAGGGCAGGCGCCCAGGGTGACAAAGACAACCAAGCCACACACACGTACAGGGAGGCTAGATGCTAAACGCGGGCCATGGCTTCACAGTCACAGCTCCTATGTGGGGCTGAGCTAGGGCCGGGACACTCCTGGTCCAGCGCTCCTCCCACAAGCGGGAGAGGGACCACTCTAATGAACGAAGCCAGATGATCCCCTCAGCGCAGTTCAGGAAACCTCGCCCTTGTTCTCTGCAAGTGCCCGGGCTCCTTTTCCAGGTGCTGGCCATTGAGAGTCAAGATGAGGGGCACCCTGAGACCACAGGCGCTGCTGTGTATCTGTGCCTCCAGGCCGGAAGCTGTTGGTGTGTGGGTTCCTGGGATTTGCCTCTAGAAATTCCGCCTGCAGGGAGCGCCAGCAGCTGTGCTTCTGAGGACTCTGGTTACGTGGGCTCCACGCATCCCACTCCTGGGCTCCTGACCTTGGTCTCCATCTGGCCAGACAGTGCACCCAGAGTCTGCGTCCTGAGGTGCAGGAAGGTGGCCACGGGCACTGAGATCTCCTCACCCTTGTGCCAGCACCAGCTGACTGCTCCCCAGAAGCCAATCTTGTTGTTTGAAGTTCTGAGGATGAGCCTGAGCCCCAGGCACCAAGGCAAGCACCCCACCTCTGAGCTGCACCCAGCCCTTGCAGGAGCAGAACCTCCCTAGTTTACGCTGGCAAATGAGCTAATGGAACAGCTGCCAGGACTACCTCAGTCTGTAAAGGCTGAGGGCTCCAACAGGCAGAAGCGTCCCTCTTTCTTCCCCTCCCAGCTGCCTGCATTGGCCTTCAGGGCTGATCCACAAGGGATTCCACAAAGCCACTCAGGGGCTTGGGCCTCAGGAGAACCCCGAGTGCTCCCAAGATACACATTTCAGAGAGGGACAGGTTGATGTCCGGGTGCCAGCACTAAAGTCGCGGCACACCTGATGGAGCATGGGATAAACCAGGCCCTGGGAACTTGGGGATCACAAATAAATTAAGTGGTGGCGCACGCCTGTAGTCCCAGCTCTTGGGAGGCAGCAAACAGGTGGATCACTATGAGTCCGATCTAGTAGTGAGGCCCTCAACACCCTGTAGACCCTTCCCTAAAATTAATTTAATTAAGATTAGGCCTGCCCCCGCCACAGAACTCTTGTTAGCAGCACGATGTCGAGGGGCTGGAGCTCTCAAGCACACACACACACACTAGCCAGGGCACACGTGGTCTTGCACACACTCACAAAGCTCCACTGCAAAGTTCAGTCCCCTGGCCCTACCTCTTGTCCCAAGCCCAGCTTCCAGGGCTCCTTGGGCCTCGGACCCTGCCCATCCACCCACACTGAACACTGCCCTAAGGCCCAGACCGCCTGTCCTTTGGACAGTGTGGCCGGAACCGTCGGATTAACAGCCAGGGAGTGACCAGCACCTGTAGGCCACCTCCCCCCTCCGTGACAGCTGCAAGAGTTCCGAGTCCCCAGCACCCAGTGCCAGGTGCCTGGTCAGTGTGGACACAGGAGGGAGCGCTCCTCCCAAGGTCAAGAGCTCAGACTGTCACCCCCCTGCTGGCTCCCCCATCACGCTCCAGCACCCCCAGCTAGACAGTCCTTACCCTTTGGCTCCAGTCCCCAGCTGGGTCCTCCTCCGCTCTGCACCCTATCTCTGATGATCTACCCTCACTTGCTAGATTTCTCATCAGGCTGGCCATGGCGAGGCAAGGTGCAGGGCTAGCATCCCAGAACTGTGGAGGCTGAGGCAGGATGATCGATTCAAGTTTGAGCACAGTCTGAACTGCACACTGAAATGCTGTCTTAAAAAGATAAAAATAAATCTCTCAGCAGCCTTTCACAGGAGACCTGTGTGCCATCCCATACTGCTTAACACCGGCCCACGCCCCACGGAGGGCAAGCTCAGCCAGGGCTGCCCCAAATGCTCTGAGGAGACCTTAAGATGTCCAGGACAGGCCAAGGGGACAGGCCAAGGGGGCAAGCGGAGCTTCAGGAAGGCCTTGGGAGAGGCGTCCCCCACCCCTCCAGCCTTAATCTCAGTCAGGAAGCAGGGTCTGGTTACCGGGTGGGGGTGGGGGTAGGGGGATTCCCAGAGCTTTGGGGGCAGGGACGAGCCAAGCAAGGGCACCGGAGGGAGGGCAGGGCTGTGGGTGTCTTGGTGCAGCCAGGTCCTCCCTGCTCCTGCCCTGCCCTCCAGGCTCTGCCAGGCCCAGCTCCCCGCAAAACACCTGCAGGGCCCCCAGTCCTAGGACAGCGAGCAGCCCTGTGTGGCCCCTAGCTCTGCCCAGGGCCCTCCACTTCCTGTGAGCCAGATCTATCCGGGTTTGCTGTTGCTCTCCAGGGTGCCGGTGCAGGGGTGGGGGCCGCTCCTGGGCCTCTGCACTTGCACCCCAGGAGCTGTGCAGACGCA